GTTAAACTTGTTCGGACTTATTGTACAAACCTATTTAACATCCACTATTTTAACATAATATTATGGATAAAGTGTAATTCAGTGTTTGAAAGATTAATTTCAATATTTTTTAATTAATGTCTATATTGCCATGAAGCAATTAGGATTTTCTTGCCTGGGATCTTCCTATTGGTGACCTAATCAAAATGGCCGACTTGGATATGGGCGGAGTTAGATATGTACTTGACTAATGCTAGCATGTTTTTACTAGCCATTAGCCGCAGCTAGCAGTTCAAGGCTAACGTCTTGTTAATGACCATAAACAACGTATATAAATACATAAATAAATGTGAGAAAAGGGGCGATACTTTTGAAAATGAGTATCGTATCCGGATACAACATTTTAGTTTTATATATATACTCAAAAAGTATCAATATTTTTGACAACCCTAGTGGAGAGGCCCGTCTGTCAGCATTAACCTTTGACCTTTCGCGGCTTATCCAGCATCTGCTGCTGGAGGTGGGCTGTGCTCTGGATTATTTTCTCTGAGAGATTAATCAGATCTAATGATGTTACACCAAACCGAGCTCCTCACCTCGCCGTGCCCTTGCCGAGAAAATTTCTAACTACGCAGAGACTAGGGTTGTCAAAAGTATTGATGCTTAAAAAAGTATCGATACTAAAATGTTGTATCCGGATACGATACTCATTTTCAAAAGTATCGGTACCAACGATTTATTTATGTATTTTTTTTACGTTGTTTATGGTCATTAACAAGACGTTAGCCTTGAACTGCTAGCTGCGGCTAATGGCTAATAATAACACGCTACCATTAGTCAAGTACATATCCAACTCCGCCCACATCCAAGTCGGCCATTTTGATTAGGTCACCAATAGGAAGATCCCAGGCAAGATAGTCGTATTGCCTCATATCAATATAGACATTAATTTAAAAATAGTGAAATGTATCTTTCAAACACAGAATTAAACTCTATCCATAATATTATGTTAAAATAGTGGATGTTAAATAGGTTTGTACAATAAGTCCAAACAAGTTTAACCAAACAATATTTATTTCTCACAATTATGAAGGGCTTTTTGGCTTTTTTATTGGTCTGCCTGTTTCAGGGAGTTCCCCTTTAGTTTGTCTGAGAACGGCCCATTTCAGATCTATTTGTGGGGGTGTCTTTATCTCTTGAACCGAACCAAAACTAACCATCCATCCACCCATTATCATAACCTCTTATGCCCTAATATGGTCAGGGGGGGGGGGGGGGGGCC